AAAAGATATGGACTGAGGTTTGCTTTGGGCCCATAACCCCTAGGCCCACCTTAGAAGTTGCCGTATACACGTGGTACCACTTCCTCTCACCTCACCATGTTGTGGATGTGGAGAGATCTAGGAGATTGGATTTCTTTTCTCTAGCAAGGTTGTTTTTTTTTTTTTTAATAAACATTGAATGATAGACTATATAGGTTAAATCTTCAATTTGGGCTCTAAATTATTATACAAATCTTTGATTTGATTCCTAAATTAAAAAAATTTCTGATTTGGTCCTTAAATTATTGTACAGACCTTCGATTTGGTCCTTACTATTTACCAATTTACCATAAATTAATTTTTTTATACAAAAAAAAACTGACGTGTCTAGTATTTAATGACAAAAAATAATAACTTAACGGTCACGTGTCACATTAATAATGAGACACGTCAGTTGTTTTTTAATAGAAGGACCAATTTGAGGCAAATTGATAAACAATATGACCAAATAAGGGATTTGTTCAATAATTCAAAGACCAAATTAAGGATTTTTTTAGTTCAGAGACTAAATTGAAGGTTCGTATAATAGTTCAAGAATCAAATTAAAAATTTAACTTAAACTATATAATAGGATAAACCTCCTCACCCATCCTATAATTTGATATAAAAAATCTTTTATAAGAAGGAGGTGATCATTAAGTCAATAAAATGCTCTTAATATAAAATTATGTTTTGATGTAATTAATAATTTATAATTAATATCTTATAATTAATAATAATTATTATAAAAAAATACATATTAATATTGATTTTAAAAAATTAGAGTTTTAATATTAAATTATATAATTTTATTTAATTAAAATTTAACTTAAAAATTTAAAATTTTATTTTATTAAATATTAATATTTAAATTTAAAAATAATTAAAATTTTAAATTTTAAATTAAAATTTTAATTATTAAATATAAATTAAAACTTTAATATTTCTTAAAAATCTAAACTAATACGACACTAATCTTTATTATTATTTATAATTTAAAAAAAACACTTAACCAATTATCTAAGTAATTAAACGAGAATTTACTTCCATTAAAAATAAAAAAATTTGTATTTAAATAATATGATATATGAATGATATATAAATGAAATCACATAAGGATGAGAAAGGGTTACTTTGACGTGCAATCAACATGAAAATAAATAAATAAAAAACATCTGCGTCATAATCCAAGGAAGGAAGAAAGGAAGAGTGCGTAATATGCATCACTGCACACGTTAGAAGTTTGTTCTCCAACGTCACCAAAGAGAGTTCCAGAAATTTCCCCAATTCCGCGAAGCTTTACAGCTTTTAGGGTTTGGGTTCTCATCCTTCTTCTCATCTCTACACACTGCATTCCTGGTAAGTTCCCTAAAAACCCTAGAATTTCTGTATTTTTTTTCCTTTTTTTTTTTTTTTTTACGTTCGCCTTTAGTTTTCTTTTTAATTTTTGTGTTTTGTTTATTTCCGAAGAACAAAACCATGTGCTTCTATCCGTTTCCTGAACAAAATTTCACCACGCACAGACAGAGAAGATTGAGAAACCAGAAACTAAGGGAAGGAAGGAAGTAGGGTAAGCAGAGAAACAAGCGAGGATAACAAAACAAAATGGATCAAGGGGAGGGAGGGGATAATCAGTTCCATCGAAATGAGGCGATTTCTGCTGTTGCTGATGAGGGGTTTCTTGGGGAGGAAGACGAGGATTATGAGGATCTTTACAATGATGTTAATGTCGGTGAAGGGTTTTTCCAAACTTTGAAAAAGACTGAAGATTTAGGGAATGGTGGTTATACAAGTGATAATGCTAGAGGTAAGTTAGGTGGGTCTGCCGTGGTTGCACCAGCACCGGAATCAGGTGTATCAATACCAGGGGTTGTGGGTAATGTCGGTGTTGCCGGGGATTCCAGGGTTTCTTTTGATAGTCAAGGGTTTAGAGGGAGTGATGATGTGAAGGGCCCTGGTGGAATGGGACCTGGAGGTGGTGGTGGGCTTAGGGTTGAATTAGGGCATGGGTCCAACAAGTTGGTGGTGGAGAAGAGTGGGGATAGTAATGTTAGTTTAGGTGGTGCCAGTGAAATTGGGCAGCAATCACATGTGGTGGGGAATGTAGGGGGTGCTGGGAATGAGGCTTTAGTGAGACAAGGAGCAGGTGGGAATGGTAATGGGAGTGGGAACAGTGTCAGCACTGCTGCTGGTGGGAGCGTAGGTGTTGGTGTTGGTGTTGGTGGAAGTGGGGGTGCGGGTGGGGGTGGGGGTGGTGGTACGACATTGTTTGTGGGGGATTTGCATTGGTGGACAACGGATGCACAGCTTGAGGCAGAATGCTGCAAATATGGCCAAGTCAAGGAGGTGAAGTTTTTTGAAGAGAAAGCAAGTGGTAAGTGCAAGGGGTATTGTCAGGTTGATTTTTATGATCCAGCTGCAGCCACTGCATGTAAGGAGGGAATGAATGGACACATGTTTAATGGGCGTCCTTGTGTTGTTACACATGCATCACCCAATACCATTAGGCGAATGGGAGAAGCCCAGGTAAGTAGGAATCAGCAAATGGGACAAGCTAAGAAGGGTCCTAATGATTCTGGTGGTAAGACTATTGGTAGCAACATTCCCACTGGTGGCAATTTTCAAGGTGGAGATAATAATAGAGGTTATGGCAGAGGGAATTGGGGGAGAGGCAATGGTCAGGGCATGGGGAATAGAGGGCCAGTTGGTGCAATGAGGAACAGGGCTGGTGGGATGGGTGGTAGAGGTATTATGGGCAATGGTGGCAATGGATTTGGGCAAGGGATTGGTGCAGCCCCTCCTTTGATGCACCCACAATCAATGATAGGACAAGGCTTTGACCCCACCTTTGGTGGGCCTATGGGAAGAATGGGCAACTTTGGAGGCTTTCCAGGTGGGCCAGCGCCCCCATTTTCTGGGATGTTACATTCCTATCCACCTGTTGGTGGTCTTGGTATGCCTGGAACAGCCCCTCATGTTAATCCAGCATTTTTTGGTAGAGGGATGCCTATGGGTGGAATGGGAATGATGCCTGGAAGTGGAGTTGATGGGCCTAATATGGGAATGTGGTCAGATCCTAGCATGGGAGGATGGAGTGGTGATGAGCATGGTGGTGGGAGAGCTGCGGAATCTAGTTATGGAGAGGAAACGACATCTGACCATCAGCATGGTGATGTTAATCATGAAAGAGGAGGTTGGCAGAATGCTACAAGGGAAAAGGATAGGCCTTTGGAGAGGGACTGGTCTGGTTCTTCTGAAAGAAGGTACCGTGATGATAGAGAACCAGGGCACGATAGAAGCATGCCTAGAGAAAAAGATACCCATGACTTTGATGGGTCAGAAAGAAGGCATCGTGATGATAGAGATAGTGGCCGAGAACGTGAGAGGGAGCGAGACAGGGACAGGGAACGTTCTCGAGATCGTGACCGGGATCATGATAGGGGACGTTCTCGAGATCGTGAATGGGATCATGATAGAGAACGTGATAGGGAGAAGGACAGGGAAAGAAATTCTGATCATCGTAGGCTTAGGGATCGAAAATCAGAGCATGATGATGATTGGGATGGGGGTCGGTCATCAAGAACTCACAGCAAGTCACGGTTATCACAGGAGGATCATCGTTCAAGATCCAGAGATGCTGATTATGAAAAGAGGCGGCGGCTTACCTCAGAGTAAATCGATTCTGACGCCTTTTTTGGGAGCCTATTGCTAGGACACAAAACAATAGACAATCAGAACCACAGAACTCTGGTTTCATCTTGCCTTTTGGAGTCTCTTTAGAGTAGTGTTGTAACAGCCATTCTCAGATCATTGCCTGGAACTTCTTGATTGCTTCTTTTGACTAGGAGATTATGGTCTCATTCTTGCATGAAAGAAGTAAGTTACTGAAACTTGTTTTCTAGTGGAACTGTTGGTGTTTTAGTCTTACACAAATTGTGCGTAAGCATTCTCTTTAAATGTATGGGAGTTTTTATATTTGTTAGCTACTAAAAATTTTCTGAGCTGGAAAACCTTGCATTTTTTCTACTAACCCATGCTGCTTAAGCCTTAGTACACAAAGGTGTTTAATATATGACTAATCTAGCAAGGTTTAAGATTCTTTATAAAGTTAGCTTATTTTTATGATAGTGCTAAACACAATGACCAATTCAGAGATCTATGTTGATGGATGTGCTCTCTTACATATAAAGGGAAAAAAATGGTTTTGAGCTCTATAGACTATAATCACTTGAAAGCAGCTCTAGTTTGATGAAAATTAAAAGAAAAAACCTAAAGATATATTTTTGATGGAAATCACTTGAAGATAAATTAAATTAGAAATAAAAACATTTTGTGGCCTGATTGAGCCTTACATTGCTTAGAAAAGAGGAAGAAATGGTTCCTCATGAACCAAAACTTAAGAACTATTGTTTTCTTTTACACGTTGTTGGACTTGCACCCTACCAATGGAACAGGTATACAATAGATATTGATCCCTTTTGATTGCCTGTTAGGTTATAGATGTTAACCTTCCTTTTCCCTTAATTTTCATGAGCTGTTTATGGCTGTGAATGAGCTTTCTAGTTCTAGTTGTCATTTATCTTTCTGAGGTTTATTTTCTGCTGAGCTTCTAGGTTGTATTTGTGACATGCATTGCTGATGTTCTATAGGACATATACAGCCAAACCATCTTATGTGATTGTTGGATTCTTGGTATTCCATGTTTCTATTTAAAGGCTTTGTTTTCCAGCAGAAGTGATTTACTTTTTATAAATAAATACAAAGGCACATCATATAAAAATAGTTATCCTTATCCCCTATTTCTCTTTATGTAACAAAGGCTGTAGAGATGTCCGTTTACTTAAAGATTGGCACTGACTATCCATATTAAAAGACTTGCAGTAGAGCTGTGACAACATTAAAGTAAGTTTAAATAGAAAGAGATATTTTCTATAAACATGCAATAAAATAAGGTGATAGCTGGTGGTTTGAATCATTTGATTTTCCTGCCAAAATGTGAAGTCCTATGCAATGGATTGTATACAAAAAATAAATAAATAAAAACACTATTTTGAGAGTGTGAAATGAAAATTGATTGTAAGTTGCTGATAGCATGGCCTGTAGATTTTAACAAAGTGTCTGGATAGTTTACCCTTTTTTCATACATGGGTTTACTGGATGTAAATGATCTATTGCTTTATCTTTTTGAAGATTTGTCCTTGCTGATGTCAACTTTTGGCTAATCAATGGCAATTTCAGTTATTGCTAGAAGTTAACTGTATATCAAAATTTGTTTGCTCATTTCTTTAATTTTCCTACGTTGAAGGGTGCTTGATCTTGAGGATTGAACCTGTTGAAGACAACTCTGGTTTTCTGAAGGAGGAGATGATCTCAGCCTTGTGTATTAGACCTCCTCGTTGCTGGCATACATGTAGGAGAGGAGATTGTAAAACTAATGGTTTTAAGTTTTTAGTTTTCCTTTTGGATTTTATGTTCTAGTAATCAACACTTGATGGCTTGAAATCGTGGAAGCCAGGAATGTGGTAGATTATCTTAAAACTTTATGCTAGCCTGAAATGTGGTAGATTGTCTTGGGAACTTTTTGCCTGAATGTAATGTTGTTGTAGGATTTAACACATAGGATGTTGCTGATGAGTACCTGTTACTGGTTGTTGTATTGTATCATTTTCATCCCTCTCTTTATATTGTTCTTTTTTTTAAAGTATTCCACGTTGTTAATAATCTCATGTGATGAATATTGTAAACGGGGAATGTAGAAAACTAATAACAGATTGGATGGATGGCGTTTTTTAGGCTTGGAGAATTGTACACAATATGATGTATGTATTTTTGGAGAATTGTAGAAAACTACTTTACTATTGTTTCCCCCATTTGCACCCATTGTATTGTATGCATCCTGGAGATGGGCATGTGAATGTTAAAGTGCAACCAGGTCTCTTGATAGACATGGAATTCACCAGAGAAGGGAAGAAAGAGGGAGTTCTGACTCTGAATTCTAGGGTGATATATTGTGCTGAAAACAAGTGAGCTGAAATGGGTAGACTGATCTTCATGTAACCATTACCAAGTTCACACCTTCAATTTCATATTATCTTTAATTACTATTGCCAAAAAGGAGCCATCAAATGAGTATACATCAAAAATTACATCACTATTTCCACTGAAAAAGAAACCCATTTTTTATAAAAAATTTTATGAAGGCTCTAAAAAAGTTTTTTTTTTTTTTTTTTAATAAACATTGAATGATAGACTA